TGGGAGCTCGGGATCTCTGGGTGTTCCCTCCCCACCTGCTGCCAGCTTCCCTGTGGGATTGGGAGCTCGGGATCTCTGGGTGTTCCCTCCCCACCTGCTGCCAGCTTCCCTGTGGGATTGGGAGCTCGGGATCTCCGGGTGTTCCCTCCCCACCTGCTGCCAGCTTCCCTGTGGGATTTGGAGCTCGGGATCTCCGGGTGTTCCCTCCACACCTGCTGCCAGCTTCCCTGTGGGATTTGGAGCTCGGGATCTCCAGGTGTTCCCTCCCCACCTGCTGCCAGCTTCCCTGTGGGATGGGGAGCTCGGGATCCGCCCGGATGAGGCTTCGGGGTCACTTCTCGCTCTCCTTGCCGGGCATCCCTCTGGAATCCATCCCGCTGTAACGTCTCCTTCCTTCCTCCCTCCCTCGCTCCCTGCTCCTGCTCCTGCTCCAGGTGATCCGCAGGGGCTGGGTGACCATCAACAACATCAGCATCATGAAGGGCGGGTCCAAGGAATACTGGTTCGTGCTCACGGCCGAGTCGCTCTCCTGGTACAAGGACGACGAGGTACGGGGGGGAAATCGGGATTCCCGGCGCTCCAGGGGGAAGATCCTTGGGGTAGGGCTGGGGATTAGTGCCCAGGAGGAATGGCAACCCCCAAATCCGGGGGGGGGGCTCATCCAGACCCCGAATTCCCCGTCTCCGAACACTCCCCCGAACGTCGGGGTCGTGTGGACTCGGATAAACCCGGAGGCTCCGGCGGCTCCCGGGGGTTCCGAGGGGCTCTGGCTCCGTTTGAGGGGGGGGTTCCGTGTCTCCCACCCCTGTCCCAGCCCCCTGACCCGGCAGGAGGGAGGGAAACCGGCTCAGGGAAAACCAGAGGAAAGAAAAGGGGGTTCCAGGGGGGGCTGCGCCGGTCTGGCATCCTCCGAGGGCACATTCCAGCAGGGAATGCCGGGGCTGGAGGGAGATGGGAGCTGGGATCGAGTCCTGCTCTCCCCCAGGCCCCCCCCGAGGGTGGAAAGACCCGGATTCCCTCAATCCCTGGGATTTTGGGGTGCTGGAGTCCTCAGTCCCCCCTTTCTCCTGCTGGGTGTGTGGGAAGGGGCTGCTCCTCGCTGATCCGTCCCGTTGATCCGGTTGGGAATTGCAGCCCCGGCCCTTGGGGGCGTCCATCCCTCTCCTGGTGTTCCAGGGTGTTGGAGACTCCCCCAGATCCCCCCCCAACCCTCATTTCCAAAGGGGCTTCCCCCGGGAAGGGGCCGGGGCAGCTCCGGCAGCTCCTCCGTGGAATTTTCGGGTTTTCCAGCGTTTCCACCCCCACGATCCCAATCCCGATCCCGCTCCTCCCCTGACGTCACCAGCCAGAGGCTGGGAAGGAGGGGGGGGGCCCTTCCCGGGATTTTGGGGGGACAGGGGGTGGGAATGGGGGCGGGCAGAGCCCAGCACGGGGTCAGGAAAAGGAGACACACGGACACAGCGTTTATTTCCCGGGACCCAATCCCAGGTTTCCTTTGTTCCTCCGGTCTCTCCCCGGCGGAGGCCAAGGTCTCCCCCCCCCAGTTCCCCCTAAAAGAGCAGGAACAGGTCGGGCTGATCCCACCCGGAGCAATCCCGGTTTCCCTCGGGGAGGGGGGAATGGGATCGACCCGCGGGGATGAACGAGGCTCCGTCCTCATCCCGCTCTCTCCAACCCCCCGTCCCTAAAAACCAGGATGAACGAGGCTCCGTCCTCATCCCGCTCTCTCCAAACCCCCGTCCCTAAAAACCAGGATGAACGAGGCTCTGTCCTCATCCCGCTCTCTCCAACCCCCCGTCCCTAAAAACCAGGATGAACGAGGCTCTGTCCTCATCCCGCTCTCTCCAACCCCCCGTCCCTAAAAACCAGGATCCGCCGTGGCATTG